AATTTAGTCATATATATATATATATATATATATATATATATATATATATCATGGAAAAGTCAGAAGCAAGTCACTGAAAATAAGTAATTTTTTTACAAATAAGGTATAGTTAATGAGTTATACAATATCCCTCAAGCCCCTCAAAGAGATCTGCTGACTGTGGAACTTAAGGAACTTAATAAAAATGCTTCCCCTGCTAAACAAAACTACAAGCTTCTGGAATCAGCAGCTGAGGCCATCCACAAATAAGATGGCAGAAACAGACTCCACATGAATCCTATATCAACTGTGGTCTTGATGAATACTGCTTCACCCAATACTAGGTTCCTGCCAAAAATTGGACACTGTTGGGTTAAGTGTCCTACTCTGCCTGGGTAAGGTACGTCAGTTTCTCAAGTTCCTCTTCTACAGAAATATGGCTCAGATCTCAAGAGTTCAATGGTTGATGGCTGATGCTACCCTGTGTGGCAGTCAAAGTCTAATGGTGTCTTATGACACATCCAAAGACTGACAACTTGTGCTCTGAACAAAGACATCCAGATCACCATACAGGATCCCAGACTGGCTTCCCAGGTTTCAGGTAAGTCTTGGTAATTTAAACTGATATAGAGGCAATTTGGTTTCTGTTTCCTAGTGGGATTTATCCTCCTCAGATCTTTGATATTGTTGCTAGCAAGTTGTACCAGTACAAGTTTATCAGCAGCAGGCAGACCTACTCAGATCCTTCCAAAAAGGCTCAGCTGCATGGTCTGTCCATATCATATGTAAAAATTAGTTCTTGTTTTTTCTAAGCTAATAGATCATGTGCAGAGGCAGGCAGACATACAGACAGGATTAATTGCTGACAGTATTTACAATGAAAACCATAATCTCAAACAATTGATTTAAATGAAAATCAAATGGAAGCAATCACCTTTTGAATCTTTGATCCCATCAAGCAACAATCTATGTCTCCTGGTAAAAGATTGGATGGAAAAAAGGTTTAAAATTGACATGACCTTTGAGGGTCTATGGAAGTGACTTAAAGTCGGTAAATGCAAGCTTCAAAGGTCTGTTTAATTTATTTAAGTTATGTGAAATGAGACTTAAAATTTCAATGGTACAGATTTTTATCTTATTAATCAGTTGCATTCTGATATGCTATTGATCTAGCCTTGGTCAAATACTGCCTATTATTTTCATTGTCAAAGGGCAAAATTTTTAGTTTCCTTTCATTTTTTTTATATTCTGGACAGAGAGACAAGGGAAAAATTGTTTATGTTTGTATCATCCTTTGGGTCCCCAAGTTTTTACAATGGCTATAGAGCATAAGTACCTAATCTAGAATAGACGTTCAAATGAAAATGGCACAGATGATAGCAACAATAGAAACAAACAACAGGAAATATAAAACAGCAACTCATTCACAATATCATAACTAAACAACAAATTAACTCTAATATTCTCAAAGAGATCCAATGTTAGATGAGTAATTCAAAAATAAAGATAAATGACCTAAAAGCAGATAGAAACAAACAAGAGAATTCGACTAGGCATTGAGGAAAAATGCAATGCTGTATAGGAAAACAATGGCTGAGGGATAAGTAAAGGAGCCATATATGTCAAAGAGTCATTACCAAGAAACATAAATCCTAAAGGGAAATTGAGATGCTTAGGAAGGGGAAGAACAAGTAAAATTGTTGTAAATGGAAAACACAAAACTGCCAATAAAATACAGTGGAAAGTGAACCCAGCACAACTGACTGATGAGAAGACAGAATATCAGGCATGATGGATGCGATTTTCAGAACACTGCTTTAAAATATCAATAAAAAATTAAATAAGTAATAAACATGTCCATGGCATCCAAACTCTGAGATCCTTTAAATAGATCAATGCAAGAACACATGGGATAGGAGGTACTAAGATACATACTAAAGACATGGGGATTTAGCAGAAACTCCCTATTTTGTAGAAAGAAACAGACGTTCAAACACAAGACATTTAGATTCCCTAGTGAAAAGAGTGGAACCTCTCCGTGGCACATTGGAGTCAATAGGTGAAAAAAAGTTGAAGCCTGACCGTGGACTCATAAAATGGACAGACACAACAGTTGGCATTTCTCTATCTACTTGACTAGAAAAATCAAGAAGAGGAAAACAAATGTCTGTTGATGCATAAAGGAGGAAAGTTTGCAATGACTTTCACATGTCCGTGTATACAATTCATTATTCTCAAAGGAATTACATGTGCACAGATGAACTTGCACTTTCATGTAGCCAGAACACTCTCAGCACAGTCACACAAGTACTTACATCACGATGTCAAAAAGATTTGGTTTTTTCTTAAAAGGTATCTGGAATTTGTCTTGGAAATCTTGGGTGATATAAATGGGGATAAATGTACCTAGGATTATGTCAGCATACATGTAGGTGGTGGGATTCCAGTTATTGGAACACTTCTCATGGATCATTTCCCCTATTGTAAAGAAATATTTCTGGAGTAGGAAGAGACGAAGTAAAAGACGGGACATGGCAGGGTCTGAAATACACAGAGTCAATGCCCTGCACCCTGCAACAATGCTTAGCTAAGGAGATTATTGGCTAAGGTTATAGTACAGGTTCAGACCTCAACAGTGTCAGAGAAAACAGTAGCTACAGCTTATTCCTGATGTTGCATCAGGCCTTCAGGCTGCATATAACCCATGGTTCTCATGCCAGACAAAGGCATAGACAGAAGCAAAGTCCAGACAACGCAATAAGAGTGCTGAGAGTCTCCTCTAACTGTAACCAGAGTGACCCTGAATGTGCTGACTTTCCTTGCTTCTATTTAGCTCTCATACATGTGCTCTGGGGATCCCATAGTCCTGGGACTGTGCACCTGCATCCTCTATGGTGGTGGAAAACATGTTTACATCCTTCCTTCTTCCCCACCTCTATGATTTCATCATGGTCCACAGTGACTTTGGAGAGCACTATAGCCTGAGACAGAGTTGCGGGTCATCACCACAGCTTGTTTGTTTTGGATTGCTGTTTTGGAAGACACATGGAGGAAATGTGAACAGGGGAGAAAAGGCCATAGCTGGAGCCCACAAAGCAACACTTACAATATTTCATCCAATTCTTTCACTCGAGAATGATGTGTTGATGTCAGTTTCCAGTGTCACCCATTTAGAAGCACACTAATCTTGTGTCTATTCTGACTCCCTGGTCTGCTCTCTCCTCCTTACAGCAATAATTAGTTAGATGTAGAAAGGAGTACGGACATCTTAAACAAATACAAACCATCATTTCCCACCTCACCCAACCACAGTATGAATGTTTCCAAGCAGTTAACAGTGTTGTATTGTTAGTGCTCTCTGCTACAGCCCCTCCTCCACTACATTTTATAACAAATAATAATCACAATACTTTATCTCTACACTTCTTCCTCTCTACACTTCTTCCTCTTTCCTATAATGCTAGTTATCAGAAATACTCTTGATATCATTTCATTTTATACTATTGATAATTATGATAGAGTATAAGACAATTCAAATTATATGTATATCTGTTACATAGGTAACAAGAATTTATGAAAAATAACTCCCTGAATTTTCAAAAGAGCAGGTGTGGTATATTCAGGCTTTGCAGGATGAAAGGAAAGGAGAAATCATGTAATTATACCTCAGCAAATAAATAAACAGATATCTCTCATGTATACCCTTCCAAAGTTTTGGTTATTGGATTTCTTAAAATATACACAAAGACCTTTTCAATTGAACAATGTTTGTTAGTATTATCTGCTCTGCATATATCTTGAAGTGTTTCTTTAAATTATCCCTCTTTTATCACTGCAATCTGTTCTTTGACTATCCATTTCACAGAACCCTGATGTGCAGCCTCACACAGTCATTACTGTTAGACATGAGGACAGGTGTCCACTTCTCATTTCAGCTCTAAGACACCATTTGGACAGATCCTTGTAAGCCTTGTGCTTCCTGCCTCAGTTTCTGTAGATTCCTATATGTTTAAGTCTATGGATTTAGAGGGCTTTGATCTTTGTTCTTCATTCCCTCTGACACTGAAGCTGTTCTGGATCAATTAACCTGAGCCTGGAGGGGCAATTTGATGGAGATATTACATTCATGGTTGAGGATTCTGAGGTCTCTCACTGTCTGCATGTTGTTGTTACTTGTCTCTGTATTTGTTCCCATCTGTTGCAGGAAGAACAAATGACGAAAGCTGACCAAAGTCATGGTATTTAAATATAGCAGAATGTCATTAGGGGTTCTTTTCTTGCTGCATTCTTTTGGTAGAACAGTAGTATTTGCTTTTTTTCTGCTTTTTTCCCTAAGCTATTTAGTTTCACATTCTTGGTCATGAAAACAGTGTCATGTATCGGTTCCATCTTGTGTAGAAGGCCTTATGTAGACTTTACTGCTTGGTTACAGCCACAGCCATTTCACTAGCTTAACTTTTGAAGGTAGGACACCAGTACAATTTTAAAGTTTTGTAGCTGGATTGGTACTTACATTTCTTCTTTGGTAGCATGCAGAATACATTCCTGTATGAAAGTTGCTAACATGTATAGGTGAAGGTT